TGTGTGTGTGTGTGTGTGTGTGTGTGTGTGGGTGTGTGTGTGTGTGTGTGTGTGTGTGTGTGTGTGTGTGTGTGTGTGTGTGATTTATTCAGAAGTGTGTGTCGGGAACATTTTCCTCACACTTCCTGCAGGTTTGGAGATGAGCGCGAGCTCGGTGGGTTGGTAGACCGAAGCCCGCATCTGACCCGTGTAGTTGCTGTACGGAGACACGAGCTTGTTTCCTGCAACAAACAGAAAACAAAGAACTCTTTCATCTCATCTCTTTGTGTGAAAACTTTATCGTTTTTTACAGGCGTTTATTTTCTGGACCATTAGAGTCCGTCTGTTGTGAGGAGCTCGAACAGGAACCCGGGCTGTGGCGGTTCTGGTGGGACTCGGACGAACACCGAGCGGATCATCTGCTCAGTCCGTCCTCTCCGGTGACTTCTCACCACAGTTCAGAGAAACAGTTCGTCTGTGAGACGAGTTAATCATTAAAGGTCTGGATGGGGCCGATCGCACCAGTAAAGGGACAGTTCAGCTCGTTGTAAAGCGCCGCTGAGTTTATGAACGGTCAGCGTCTCACCTGAAGCAGACAGCGGTCAGAGGGTCTCGGTTTAAAGAATCAGGATTGAACATATTGTCATCTCTTTGAGTAAATGTTTTTAATGTATTTTCTGCTTGAAGCAGCTGAAAACAGATAAAAGTTAAACTAGAATTAACGTTTGAGTTGTTTTAGATTTCAGGACTCTCATCTGCTGCAGGTGACACACTGACTGCTCAGAAGTACTCCACACAACCCACTTCAAACAAAAACTAGCCCTTTATTCAAAATAAAAGTTTAACCTAAACCGAGAATTTAAAAAATTCTTAGGAATTGTCCAAAAAATGTATCAAATTATTAAATATTAGTAATTTTAGCTCAACAAGCAAAAGCTTAATGTCGTACAGATTTTAATCTGATTTGTTTTTACTATTTTTTTTTATTTTATCAGAACATAAAGTATGAACTCTCAGCTGTTTTCCAGAATAAACCAAATTTTTTTTAATTTCTACCATTTTATTTTGGAGCATAATAAAAGAAAAGCCACGAGCGTTTCCATCATTGAGATTATTTATAATCTCTAATCAAATAATCTCTAATCAATCCAGTTTCCACGTTGTGAGAAAACCACGAAGAGGAAGAAACGTGTCGCTTCGGTGTGCGCTCTAAAAACAAGATGGCAGCTCAACCGGTTCATCTGCAGGAACCACCAGACTTCTGGACCAGAACCGGACCAGAGGAAAGATGTTTACCCAGAATGCACTGCAGCAGACAGCCCCTCCAGCCGTCAGCACGGAGGTGGAGGCTGATGGTTTGGGCTCCTGTCAGCCCCTGAGTGGACCAGAACTCCTGTAGAACAAATGAGTCCATCTGTCCAACAAACTGGGCCCAACAGAACCAGGATCCAAAACAGCAGCTGATCTACAGCAGAACAACTCAACAAGACCAGAACCAAGGTGCTGCAGCGGTCCAGAGTCCAGAACCTGAACCTGACTGAACATCTGTGGTGGACCTCAATGAACTGAAGCAACGATGGAAAGACGAGTGGTCCAGAACTCCTCCAGAACCAGGAGAGACAAACAGAAAAGCAGAGTTCTGGTGCTGCAGGTTCTACGAACACGATGGGATCCGTTGTGTTTCTGTAAACTTCAGGTCCGACTCGAGTCATTTTAGAACCTGAGCTGAAAACGTTTCCTCTCATCTAATTTTAGCAAACGATGCTTCCTGGACCTCAGGCGCTGAAGATCAACGTTCTCCTGATCGATGCGCCGCGGCGGATCGGATTCTGTGCGCTCATCATGCAGACAGGAAGCAGCCTCGGGACATTTCTCTAAGCTCCAGGAAACGCAGCCGTCGGGTCGTCCTGATTTCAGCTGAGTGGGTTTTTATCAGGGAGGAGCTGCAGGCGTGACCGACGGCTCGGGTGTCCACGTCGGGCCTGAACAAAAGTCTGTTTGAATCTGCTCAAATATTTGCTCTGCAGGAAACAGTAAATGAGCTCCGGTCCGATGAAAAGCAGGAACTTTGTGTTGAACGATGTTTTGTGTGAAGAACCGGGACTGGACGAGCTGGGCCGTCAGACGGGACACGACAGTGTAGCCACCTGAAAAACAGCAACGCTGAAAATGTCCGATTACATCACGGTACTTTGGATTCTACAGCCCAGGAGCTGTCACGGTGTGAGCGCTCACCCTTTTCTACATCCGCTGGTGCACGTGTACCCAACGTTAAACAGAACCGACAACCGTCGGAACAGAGAACACAAAAAGTCAACCATCCCAAGACTACCCAGCATGCAATGTGGCTCACCCAGTCTCTTGTGTACAACATGTAATTTCAATCAATCTGCCTGAAGTTGAACAGTGACCCACAGAACGTCCGTGACGTCACGTGCGCTGCAGTGAGGCCGCGCTGACAGGAGCTCCGCTTCAACTCAACTTCTTTTGTTGCTCCTGTTGTTTTGGTTTTAACTTTTTTTGAGCCTCCACTGGTGCAGGAACGACCGCGACACACTTTTGGAGTTTTTCGTGTCGCTGCCTTGCGCTCCTGCCATCGTGGTTCAGTTCCCGGCGTCCTTCCCACCTCAGGCTCAGGCGCCTGTCATGGTGGCCGTCTCCATGAACCTCCATCTGTCTGCACGGACCCAACTCTACGGAACAGTTCGGTTCTGCAGGGAAACTTTGGAAGTTCTGTGTCTGCCGGACCCGGTTCTGGAGGGCAGTCATCGTCTGTTGCTGTGGTTGTTATTATCACGCTGCTAACAGGACCACGCTGCTAACAGGACCACGCTGCTAACA